CGTTACTCTCGCAAGCAAGGATCCTCACCAGAGACATAGCAAGGAAGATCATTTGGTGATGTCAATTGGGTTTTGTTGAAGAATTATTCATCAAAGGTAATACCCAATTCCCCTGTATTTTCCTTTTGTTTTGTGGGTTTGGTCGTCAAAAAATTCAAGAACAAGATCCATCTCCACTGTGGGATTAACATCCTTTCACAAAGTCCCTGCATTTTATAGGCACAAGTGGCCGACCAGGAAGGACAACGGTTTTGGAGTTTAGGGGCACACCGAGTTGTACGAGGCCCTGACGGATGAGCAAACACTCTCGACAGTTAGTGCGTGGTGCCTCCACTTGCAGACCTGTTCCCAGCAGACTACAAGTTTCAGGTTGTAGTCCTCGGCATCTCCCCCGTACAGCTATGATGGCGACACATTTGTACGCCTGCACAGAGTACGGTGTTGACTGTCTGTGGTCGTGTGCCATGTTGTCGCTCTCGAAATTCGACGTGTGTCCTACTCGGGTTTCTCCCTCAACACATATATATTACTTTCAAAATGCTATATTAAAATTAACGATATTTTTTAAACCAAAATTAATCAAATTGTACTTAGATATCAAGATTGAATAGGTTACTTTAATGAAATTACATCATCAAAACTTAATAGATATAATTGTTAATCTCAAAATGTAATATTATATTAAGGTCTTTTAATAAAACAGATGGTCTTTAAGCCCTACATTATCTCGAACTCTATCCTAGTTACACTCAGATTGTGCAGCATACCTTCTTGAACAAACAAGTAAATCGAGATCAATCAAAAAGGAGTATTAGAGGTAGAGAAAATCACACCAGAATCACTAGTTCAAACCATATTGAATGGTTAAGTGTCACACATCATCAATTCTCAAAACTAACTCTAAACGTCAATCTGTGTACTTGTTAACACATACATCCTAACCTTTGGAGGTTCAAATTCGAAACCTCACATAAGGTTAAACTAAAAAAAACGACTCTAAATTATAATAACAATATGTACAGATTGAATTATTGATGCTACCGAATTATATGATGATTTATCTAAATTCTAAGCTTGGCACAGAAGTTAAAAGGAGATTTGGCGTGGGCTCGCAGAACTTGCTGCTGCACCACCAAAATAGAAGCCGCAGCAGTGAAATCCGTGGAGGCAACATAATCTCCCACAATCCCCAGCTCATTATGGTCACTCCAGTCCGACAGCCCCTCCAATAGAACCGGGTTTACACCTTGCTTCCTCCCCACAATCAAAAGCTCGTAAGAGTTCTCATTCAGTGTTTGTATGGCCCCTATTGTCTCTGCCCCATTTCTTACCACTATTTCCCTGTAAATGACTCGCTCGTTGGACTCGTTTTTCACCCAGAACCATGTCACCACCCCGTCATCCAGCTTCTTCTCCAACTCGTTGTCACCTCTCGCATTGTAGGACAGAAAACGCACCACTGTCACGCATACATCCAAGTTCCCCACCACTCTGTCCGCGTAAGCTAGAGCCTCTCGAGCATCTGCCCCTCCCAAGAACAGAACCGCGAAATGCTGCATTGAGTTCCAGAATGACTGCCCCACCATGGGGCTATGAAGATTGTTCTTTTCCACCAGAATTCCCACCGAACATGGTGCGTGTTCCAGCACACTTGAGTTCACAGAATTATTCAACCCCACCGAATCTGACCCCGCACTCCTGTTGAAAGGAAGCACAATGAGGTTGGCCTTTTTCACAAGAGCAAGCTCACAAATGTCCTGATTCATGGACCGCTTGGGTGCCACAGCCGTGTAGGTGTGCAACTTAACCAACTCAGTTCTGGCCTCCTCGTACAGCTTAAAGGCATTGTGGATGGTGTCAGAAGCGGTGTACTTGGTGGGGGCCTTGTGCTTCTTGTGGTCGATGAACACTGGTGCCGCCCGCCCCACCAGCTCGATCAGGTGGAGCGCATAGATGCCGAAGGGGCTGCTCGTAGTCGGGTTCGACATCTCTAGAAAGTCCACTAGCGCCGCCACGTTCTCCTGGTCCTTGATGCACAGCACCATCCGAAGCTCTGTGCCCGGTGGATTGTGTTGGATGCTTCTCCTTTTGCTCACCATGTACGGTCTTGTCGGGTCATACAGTAGCCTTATCAATGGCGTCGCTGTCGCTGTCACCGCCGCCGTAAATAACACCATCATTGTGAATTCTGGTATCTTTATTATCTGTGTGTATAAATAATTAAAACTTATTATCTACCTATTATTCTTTTTTATTTTTATTTTATGTTGTGTTGATAAAGTTGAAAGAAGGTGGCAAAATGATACCTTTTTGTCTATCCAATGGACTAAAAGAATGAGTTCGACTTCACCTCTTAAGCACATAATGAGGGTAACGGCGAGGCCATCTCTAAGAGGCAACTGAAAGTAAAGAGAGGCAACGAGAGTAGCAGCAAATTTGAAGAAATGGCCAGCCAGAGCCAAGAAAAACAAAGGCGCCAAGCTTTGCCACCCGGCCGCGGCCATTTCATAAACATCCGTGTAAAGCCCAACAAACGCAAACGAAAATGGCATAAGAAACTCCATTATTATGGTCTCGCTCCTCTCCACTAGCGTGGTTCCCAACGGAGGCCCATCTGGAATGGCCAGGCCCAACCAGAGCGGCCCATTAGCGATTGCAATCCCGAAGAAATCCGTCAAGAAGCCCATCACGAAAACCCCCAGCAAAATGGCCACCACAAACCCCTGCTCCACAGCCTGCCCTTCTGGTGTTTTCTCCACAATCCAACGCATTGCTCTTCTTACACCAAACACAACAAACGCCAACAGAACAATTAGCGAAATCAAGTACCATATTGCGTTCTTCCCATTGTATTCTCCTTGTATTGCCGCCTCGAACGCCAGGATCGCGTTAATGCCCACCGCGTCGCTGATTATCGACGTCGACATCGCCATTCGCCCCACCTCGGAGCTCAACAGATTGAGCTCGTGCAAAATTGGGTACACAACAGGGAAGGCCGTGATAGCTAGAGAGGAAGTAACTGCCCCAATGGAGGAGAATTTGGCGAGCTCTTTGTCCATGGACTTGCGTATCAACAAAGCGAACGTGATGTTCAAGATCAAGGGGATCACCACGCTAAACGACGCGATGCAGAATTCCTTCCTTCCCGACTTCTTCAAAAGTGTCAGATCCATTTTCACTCCCGAGATGAACAAAAAGTACATGAAACCGATTATCCCAATGTTTCCCAGCAAGAAACATACGTCATCAGGGAGCATGGTCCCTTTGAAATTCTTGTTGTGCCCCAGAACGGATGGTCCAATGATAATACCGCCCTTAATTTACACACAAAAACGTTTCAATTCCATATATAATTTCATACAATTATTGCATCTTAAAAGTAAGATTTTTTTATTATTCTATCAATTATTGCCACTAGATTCTAACATTTCTGTCTAAAGAATTGAGTTGGAAGAGAGAAGAGAAGATCTTACGAGGATCTGAGAAATGATTTTGGGCTGTTTAAGAGGGCGGCCGAGGAGCAAGTGGAGGATATGAATGACGAGAATGACGAACACAATATCCAAAACCAGAGCGGACACTGAATTTTCCAAAGGGCTTGTTCCATAGAAGATGCCGGTGGCGGTCGCATGGGTTTTCCGGCAGAAAACGGCGGCGGCGGCGGCGTCTTGGGGAGGGGAGTCGGTTCCGCCGACCACCTGGAATCTCTGCATTCCACCGCCGGCAAAAGCCACCACCCTAATTACCATGCAAAAATATTTTAACTACAAACTAATTAAAAAATAATTGAAAAAAAAAGAGAAGAAAAAATTTTCACACAGAGTGTGGACGTGCGCTCAATGGATTAAGGATTCTTTATACTTGATCGTATTTTACGGCCAATCGACCATTCTCCTTTTCCCTCTGTGTGGTTGCTGTCATTTTGTCAACTTTAATTTCCTATTTTTCTCACGCCTAAATTATACAAAATTAATATAATGCTCCTATATCTATAATATATTGGTTTTAGAGATTAAGAGTAGAATTGAAATTTTAAAAAATGTTGCAGAACTTTATCACATACGTCACGCTAAGGGTATTTGGGAGAAAACCTCCCAGTTATACAAATAAAAGGAAAATAATAACAATAAAGAAATTCGAACTAGAAAGAAAATAAATGTGGATGGAGAGAATCTATCTGAGTTTCAACTTTTCTAAGTTTCATTGTCGGATGTTTTTTGATGTAAAAATCTAAAACTACTCCCCGCTCTAAAATCTTGAGTTTAGCCAACAAATACATTTTTATGGTAAATCATTGAAAATTGTTCATTTACCATATAACTCTTTGATCAGCCTGACACATACAATCTTGTGATAAATCTCTATTTTTGTCATCTGCCCATCGTAAGAGTATTTTACTAAGCCTCTATCACATAGCATACTAATCTATTAGGACCGTCCTCATCTATTGAGTGTTGACACGTTGTAGTGGAGAAATCACCACCAACCATTATAAAAATTATAACATACATAAATCATTGATTACTATGATTATAATTAATTAAAAAGTTCCATGTAAACGAAAATTAGAACATACATAAATAATGTAGTTAAAAAAAAGAGCATACAAAAATAATTAAATATTATAATTATAATAAATAGCTAGGTTAATTAAAAACTTATGGTGACTAATCAATATTTAAATCAATCGTCAATTTATGTAAACCATATAAAATGAAAACATATTATCTCAATCAATAATTAAGAATTTTAGACATGGTTGATGACAATTTTAAGAATTTTTTTTTTTTCAACTCGAGCCCAACTTAATAATTAACGTTTCAGTTTTTCGAAGAAAACATTCTAAAGAGATTGACATATTTTAAAAAGAAAATTAAAAAATATTTATTAAGTCATTTAACATCTACATCAACTAATTATGATCATACCAGCACGTGAATATACATATTGGAAGCTACATTATCCGTTTGTTAAAAAATTAATGTCACAATAATAATGAGAATCAAAATAAAGAAAAATAGAGGACCAAATAGTTCTTTTTTAAAAATTGACAAAATGACGTTGTAATGTCAAAATGTGGTTTATTAATTGAGTTAAAAGAACTCTATATCTTAATTTGATGAAATGGACAAACATATAAAATAAAACATTTACTCATTTCTGCACAATCCAATGTTTCTTGGTCGTGAATATCTGAATAGGATGAATCGTCCTATGGTTTGCGTTCATGGTTCGATATTCTGGTATCCTAGACGTAAAGAAACCACACAAATCCATCCCAAACCTCCAATCCTGTTCCTGATCCAATGTGGAGACAAGGTATGTTTGTTATACCTTTCATGACTCTTTAGGAATAACTAACTCATAGGGAGGTTGGAGTATCACAGGTGCAGTAACTTACCCAACTCGAAATTATTCCTCCTATTAAAATATTGGTATACAAAAAATTATCAAACTTAGAAAAGAAAAAGATAAATTCATATAACGTTATTATTTTAATATTTAATAATGATAAAGATTTAATTGATAAAAATGAATGTGAATTAAAACTAAACATATATTTAGACTAAAAATTGAAAAAGTACATAAATATCAAAATACAAATCCAAATTATAGTCAAGCGAGGAATAGGAGTGGGCCCGTCGGCAATCAAATCACACCATGTGGCCGAAGAAGATCATATTGCAGTATGGGGAACACGACATGTCGTATCCGACTATATATTATAAAATAATAATTAAAAAACCATAGTCAAATGCTTCATGAAGACCATATTTTGTTATCGAATCAATTATTCAAGATACCTATGTGTAGGGTCTCATACACCTAGAAAAATAACCTAAAAAAGTTACCATTCTATTTTCCGCTGTTGTATGAGTGAAAAAATAACTAAAACATTACCACCAAGTTAAATGTATATTATAGATATATAAAGAATAAGTGGAGTGGAGGAGTCTTATTAAATTTTAGATGTAAATTTTATGTCAATTTTATTTTGACAGGTAGGGCATTATGAATAGATTATAGTTTTAAGAATTTTTTAATAAAAATGTCAGATGTAGATAGGTAGTCGCAATAATAGATAGAATTTTTCACAATATAATTATTACAAATTTTAAACTACCAATCAAATTATTTCATACTAAAAAATCAAATTGTTTCATACTAAAATTCAAAAATTAAGAATCCGTTTGATAACTATTTTTGTTTTCTGTTTCTAAAAAACAAAAACCATATATGTTTGATTGTTTTTTTATTTTAAAAAATAGAAAACCAAAACATGTTTGGTAACCATTTTTAGTTTTTTCTTTTTAAAAAGTTTAGAAAATTGAAGATACAGAGAGAGAAAATTTTATATAGGGTAGAGATGACAATCGTGTGGGTGCGAATGAGTATGCTCTCCCAATTCTTGTGGTCGTGGAAATTTTTAGTCTCCGTCTCCACCTCGTTCTTGGGTCCGAGAGTTGTTCTTGAGAAAAATTATCTGTTTTATAATTGTTTTTAATCATTTTTAGAATTTAAGTATAAAAAAAGTATAATAAATATATATTAATTATTTAAAAAATAGAATCGATGACAGGGTCGGGACATGCATTTCCTATTTTTGGGACTCAACTCTGCGAAAATTTTTACACATTTAACAATAAGTAAATAAACTTTTGGACCATAAATTTTAGAGAGATAAATAAAAAAAAATTTAGAAAGAAATAGTGAAAGAAAAGTTAAAAGACAAAAAGATAAAAATTTTGGAGAAAAAAAATAAAGTCGAGAGGAAAAGATATGTTAAAGAAAAAAGTTATAAAAAAAATAAAAATTAGAATGGAAACAAATTTAGAGATAAAAACAAGATTCAAAATATAATTTTTAGAGAAAATAAATAAAAGTTACAGCGAAAGGAAATTGAACGAGAAAATAAAATATAATTTTCAGAAAAAAAATAGAATAAAAAACAAAGAAAAGTTATAAAAGACAAAATTTTAAAAAGAAAAAATTAGGAAAAATATTAGATTTTCAGAGAGATAAATGAAACTGTTAAAAAAATAATAAAAATATAGAAAATTTTAGAGGGACAAATAATAATAAATATTTAAAATATGAAAATTTTAAAGAGAGAAAAATAAAGTTTGTAGTCAGAAATTTAGAAATAAAAAAAATTTAGAGTGAGAAATAAGTTTTTTAGATATAAATATGAAAGGAAAAAAAAGTTGAATATGAGAAGAAAAAATCAGAATTTGAAAAACAAAAAACTTGTTTTTGAAATTTTTGTTTTTAATTTCAAAATGATTTTTAAAAACAAAAAATAGAAAATTGAATTGGTTATCAAATAACCATATTTTTTAAAAACTAAAAATAAAAAACGAAATGATTATTAAACGACCTTAAATTGTTATTAATTTGAAAGTAAAAGAATTAAACAAAAATTAAAAACTAAATCTTTATATAGGTTCAAAATTTAAAAACAAAAATAAATGTGTCAAAATTTATATAGGTTCAAATTATAACAAAATTTTGAATAATGCCAAACAGCATCATATCTTATTTTCTTGATGAAGTATATAAATTAGTGGAATAAATATTTCCATTCCTAAAATCTTACATGAAGCATCATATCTTGTTTTTTTAATGAAGCATAAAAATTACATTATTATTAAAAATTTTCTGTCAGCTTAAATTTTCAATTTCATTCTATTAAAATCTTAAACTTAAATTTAATATCTCCTCCAAACTAAAATTTAATATTGCTCACAAAACTAAGCGATAAATCACACGAAACTGAACCAATAAAATTCTCTAAATGAAAGCTACAAATATGTCGTCAAATTTGAACCATTAAAATACTAAAAACCAAGCAACAAATTTTATTTAGTATATGTTCCCACAAAAATGATCTTTTCCAACTGTGAGACTAAGTGTTCTTAGTTAGCCATAATTCTTAAATTTAAAAAAAAAAACTTTTATGCATTTCAAAATATATCACTCTTTTTTTTAAAAAATTTCAAATATAGCACAAAATTAGAATTCTGATTTTGGAATGTTTTATTATTTCAGTTTTACCTTTTTTATTTTTCCAGATATTGCGCATAAAATCGAACCTTGTTTCTCCTTCGTTCGTATATCATACACTTATATCAGTTATCATAGATTCATACCAGTAGTATACTAGATGTATATCACATGTATATTGCAAATACATCAAATACTCATATTAGTAGTATATCAGATATATATTACATACATATATAAGTATTCAAATATATTACAGATATATACGACACATATAGCACATATTACAGGTATATCATATATATTACAGATATAATATCACACACCTTCCTTCGTTTTTTGGGCTTCTCCATATTTTGGGCTTACACGATAAATTAGACACTTTTCAAATTGGGCATCCATAATTCTGAAAATTTTGATATATTTGAAAATACCTAAATGTTGGTGCTAAATTTATTATTTTACATCTTTTTGTCATTTTTGCAAGAGCCCAAAAAAATTGTGGTCTTTTTTTTTTTGTTGCAAATGAAAATTTTGAAGATTAACATACCACTCAATAATATATGTAAAATTAGATTTAATGATATTGAAAGTTTAAGGTTAAATAGAAAAATAGTTAAAAATCACGTTTGGTCCCTATATACTTTCACTAGAGTAAGATTCAGCACCTGAACTTTTGCTTGCAACGATTGAATTTCTATATTTTCAAATTTGTAACAATGTAGTCCCTAAATTTTAGTGTGTAACAATTTAGTACTTATAGTTTAAAGTTTGTGACGATGTTAGAAAATAACGTTATAT